ACAGGGCCATCAGTTCTCCACTGGGGTGACTAATGCTATGAATGGTATTTGCATCTGCTCTAGAAGTATTATGAACAGACTTGCTCTTGCAGTAATGGGTGTTGCTGGCCATTATCCACAGTTTCTTATTTGGAACTCATTATGCTTTAATAATCTACCGTTTGGTTTTTATTCTCTTCCTTTCTTTGAGCCTAACTCCAAATTGTTCCACAGGATAATTAATGGTTAAGGGAGAGGGAAGGTTTTAAAGTGAGTGTGGAGAAGTATCATAGAAAGAAAGATAATTCTAGAAGACTTGGGAAACCTGCAAGAGGAAACAACCTTCCTCTACTCTGCGCCCTCAGGTTGGGTATAGATGCATATAAAGGAAACGTAGAAGAAAGTTGCTTAAGGTTGAAGACTGATGACATCAGGTCCCAAGAAATTTGCAAATGTTTTAGTTATGCTCATTGACAGAGAATAGGGAGGAAGGGAACAGGTTGGACTGGAGAGGGAGATCAAATTTATAGTAAAAGCCGGGTTGTGGACCACAGTTAAAAAGAAATTAAAAGGAAGCACAGTTTGGTAGGAATACTATATATAGGCTCAAGAGGCTTAGTGGTTAAAAGCCCAGGCTCCATAGTTTCCCAGATTTGAGTTTGAATCCTGGTTCTACTTCTTTCTAGCTGTGGAATCTTGGGCAAGTCACAACATCTCTGAGCCTTATTTTTCTCATTTGTATAATGAGGATAATAATTGTGCTCATAAGATTGCCATAGCAATGAAGTGAGATATCTGTTTCTACTCAGTAAATGCTAGCAGTCATTTTGCTTTCATAGGAGGCTTTTACTACATACATGATCTTAGTTAGGTCAGCTCCACTTCTTTGGGCTCAACTGTTAAGTGAGGACAGTACCTCCACTGCAGGCAAGATTTTTGTGGGGATTGAGTTATAGTAGGTAAACAAAGCAACCGGTAATATAACTGAGGTTTAAGAAGTGATAGGGCTGCTAGGTAACAACTTCTTAGGAAATGGCAGGCATGGAAGATAGGGATGTCTACCCTTCTGTATTCTAGAGCTTATGAGAAGCTTCCAACCTAAAATGTAGATGGCATAAAAAAGCTCAGAGCTACATTCCACCCTCAACCTGTCTCTGACTGTGCCAAACACCCCCCAAAACGCAAGCCATTGTTGAGGCGAAGGGGCAAGGAAGGATTCTGGGCCATCCCTCAAGGTCCAGCTCAAGTCTCATTCTGTCCACAAAGCCTTCTGACAGTCCTATCCTAGGGAACTTCCCCTCACTTCTTTTGGCACCCAAGTTTGGGCCTCTAATGTGGATGCTGAGTTATAGTATTCACACTTATTTCCCGTGAATATGACTTCTCTTCCCAATTCAATTTTAAGCCTGTGGAGGGCAGGGTCTGTGTCAGATCGTTTGTGTACATTCCTTGTGAGAGAATAAGGCAGGGCACATAAGCCCTCACAAAACACCCAGTATACTGGACTACCTTTCAATTTAGATTTCAGAGAGAGAGAGAGGAGAAAGAAAGAAAAAGATTGATTTTTTTAAAGCTGGGTAAGTACATGATCAGAATTGGCTTCTAGAGTTCTCCAAAAGCAGCATGTAAAAGTCAGCAGGGAGAGATAGAGGTCTACAGACTTATAGACTCATTCATCTGGAAAGCAGTCCAGTCTCCGTATTGTATTAGTAGTGAAGAGATCTGCCAAAGGTCACACAGCAAGTTAGTTTTAATATTAAGATTTGAATCCGGGTTTCTTGTCCCCTAGGTATGACCCTTCCCACTCTGCTTTGCCAGTTTGACATTGTGGCTTAACTGTAACTGAGACAAATTAGAGGCAAGAGAGAACAACACTGGGGTCTTCCAGCCAAGAAAACCCTTTGCTGCTACTTCAAAGCTTGACTTGTAGTGAATCAACCAGTCGGAGCTCCCAATAAAGGGCCTAAGAGGACACAAGGTTAATGACATTTGTTTTTCAGGGCCCTAGGTTGATGTCCATTTGGATGTGGTCGTAACTTAGAAACAAGTGGCGTTTGTATTTCAGGGATGTCATCTGCTTCACTCATCACAGGAAGTGATAGCCCTAAGATGGACACAGCTTCAGGTAGAAATGTTTTCTGGCTCTGACAGTGCAGCATATCCTTCCTGTCTGATTCCCCCTCCAGTAGAAATGGGACAGCACTGTCAGGTCTGTTAACCCATGAGCTACAGTGAGGAAGCAGGGTCATGGGCCTAGTGGTTCTCAATCCTGGCTGCACATAGCATCACCTGGGGGGCTTTTAAAACACCCTTGCCCAGGTCCTACCCCAACCAATTAAATTAGGATCTCTGAAGATGAGGGCCAGGTACAATTTTAAAGATCTTTGTACATTTCTAATGTGTCACCAGGGTTGAAAACCGCTGGTAGTTGGGACTACATGGGTTTCAGAAATCAGATGGACCCGGATCTATTGCTGATCAACTATGAGGTTACTTTTCATCTCTAGGTCTGTTTCCTCAACTGTAGAACAGGGATAGTGCTTTCCACCTTGCAGGATTATGGCCAATGTTAAATGAGAAAATGTACATTCAGCACTGAGTACAGTATCACAGTACGTGAACAGAGCAGATGGTTAATAAAAAGGTAGCTATGATTTTTTGCCAGTATTATTTTCCTACTATTACCATTATTATTTGTCATTTTTATATTACTAGTAAACCACAAAACAGCAGACACTGGGGAAAGCAGCAGATGTGGAAACAGGAGACGTAGGTTTCAATCCACACTCTACCACTTATCTAACCATATGGTTTTGGATGAGTCAATTCACCTTTCTGAGCCCATTTTCTTCTCTGTAAAATGGGAATGATAAGACCTATCTATTCTGTCTTCCCGAGCTTATTGTGAACATCAAATAATTATCATCTGGGAAAGTGCTTTGAACAGTATAAAGCGTGTTTAAAAAAAAATGGATTATTGTTATCATTTTGGTTATTGTTTCTACTGCAATTATGTATACCCAGCCTAGTGCTAAGGGGAATGGCATGTTCAGTAATGTAAGATACAGACTAAAGGGGGAGACAGAATTTATATGTGTGCACGTGAACAGTGTTTTGCTCATTCCTTCATTAGAACACTAATCACACTGTAGTGTTACTATATCTTTTCATATCTGTCTCCATCACCAGAATGGCTAAATGGTTGAATTTCAGAAAAACACAGCAATATATAAACATTTGAAGAACATTTACATGGATGAAAATTACATATGCCTGCTGGAGTGTTCAGAGTAGTGATATTTGAGCTGGGTCTTGAGGACTCGTTACAACACAGATGAGACATGAAAACAGGGGCACATATAGTGCAAGAAGCATGACAGAAACTGATACTTCCTTACCCCTGCCATATGCTAGACATTGTCAGCAGGCCATCTAATGTAGCCCTTATAATCACCTTGGGAGGAGGGGTTGTTATACTCATTTCCCAGATGAGGAAATTGATGGTCAAAGAGGCGAAGTAACTGTCCAGGGTCCCACAGCTTGGAAGTAGCAGAACAAAGCCCCAAAGCCAGGACTGCACAACTCCAGACTGTCCTTTCCACTATACCATACTGTCTCACCTAGAAGTAAGAGTCAAGAGCTTGTTTCAATGGGTTAGTGAGGAGACCAGTTTGTCTACAATAGAGCAGGTGGTTAAAGTTCAAGGTTTGTGCCTGCGACAATGATTTGGGGCCAGCTCATGGAGGACCTTGAATTTCTGTTAAGGAGTTTAAATTTTATCCTGTGCGTTTTAGAGCTGCTGGATAGGCCTTTATGGAGAGGGAAAAGTGTAAAAATACTTGAAGTGAACCTTACAACAGTATTCTGTGGGTTCAATTTAACATGTTTTTACATTTACCTTAAATATTTTTGTAGAAAAAAAATGGAATGAATATCAAGATCTACTAGTAAAAATTAAATGAATATTAAGATCTACGAACACACTTGTATCATTACATATATGTCTATTTTAATATGGTCTTTATCAGGCCCTGAGCACTTTTTGCGAGCTTTTTTTTTACTTGATACTATTTCATATGCATATTTTTATTTTGACCTGGTTCAAATCCTTGTCAGTTCGTGCACAGTATTTATTGGTTACATGCTTGTAAGAATTGAATTGTTGCTTAGCCTTTGTGGTTGGGTCTGACTTTTTGCTGTTAAGATAAATGTTTTTGTGCCAGTTGCTTTTTCTTATTTTTTTCTCTCGAATTAATTCCTTTAGGCCTGTTCCCCAAAGTGGAATTACTGGATGAACAAGTATAAACTATCTCATGTGCAATTTTGCATTTCATCCACATTGTTCCAGAATGCTTGATGGCTATCTAGATAGATAAGCCCAGTTTACAGTGCCAACAGCAATGTATGAGTGCACCTGTTTCATCATAGTCCTGCCAGAACCATCTTATTAAAAATTATATTTGTTTTGTATTGACTGACGTAGAAACTAGAGACATGGAGGCAGGAAGGCAAGTTAGGAGACTGCTGTGATAGTCAAGGCTTAAGTGAAAAGGACCTGGATTTTGGTGACGATGAATTTAACAAATTCAAATTCAGCAGCAAACATTTACTAAGCACCTACTGTATGTACCTGACACTGCACTAAACATATTAGTACCTAATTTAATCCCCTAAGTATCTCTGAGATAATATATTATTGATCTTGATTATATAGCTGAGGAAACTGTGACTTAGGAAATTGATGTTACATACCCAAGGTACACAGAGTTCCAGACCTGGGTTTCAAACATAGACTTTCTGAAGGAACTGCTGCCAAAATAATTACAAAAGAAAAAGCCAGAGTCATAGTGACCAAGAAGAAATGGGGGCCAAGGAAGGTGGCTCGGATAACTTTGATATTGGGTGGCTGCTCATGAGTAGTGTTCCGTCTGGCTAACCATCCAAGTTCCTGGTGTCATTCTCTCTTACAGGGGATGCTGACAGTTTCAGCAAAGTGCGGCCTCCAGGAGAAAAGCCAACCATCATCCGTCCCCCAGTGAGGCCCCCAGACCCTCCCTGCCGGGCGGCTACTCCCCAGAAGCCAGAACCAAAGCCAGATATTGTGGCTGGCAATGCAGGGGAAATCCCATCATCCATGTAAGTAGGGCTATTCCTCAGCCTTGACCTAAGGCCAGTCTTCGGCCACCAGGAGTGCTTTCGAGATCACTATATAGGGCTATGAAGAGTGTATAGCGCACACCCTGGGGCATCATTCACTTCATAGTCTAGGGGAATATCATAGGCCAGCCCTGTTCGGAGTGTTCTCAACATGTAAGGCTGAGAGATTTCCCTGAAACTGAAGACTATGAACCTTAGTACCTGCTAGGAGACCCATTTTTCTTAGCTGCCCTGATCTCTGTAGGGTGATAAAATTACCTTCTGTTTTTGCCTCCCTTGATTCTAGAAATTTTTTTCTTATTTTCTTGTTATGACACTGGTTTTGAAAGTAATTTAATGAACAGTTTTGTTCATTATACTTATGCTTGAGGCTTTTTCTTTGTAAACAAAGGGTATGATTTTTTAAAATCTTATAAAAAATGACTCAGGATCTCCAGACAGACTCTCGCAGGGTAGGAGCAGAGCTGACATCCAGCAGACCTTCCAGAGGGTGGGCTGCAAGCCAAGGAACCAGGGAAGGAGTGGTCAGGATGGAAGTACAGCAGCTCTGAGGGAGCAGCCTTTGCTTGACTGCAGCCTGCCTGGCTGACCTCTCTTCAGGCAGTGACTCGGGCCCCTCTCAGTATACTGCTTCCTGGTCTTTCTTTTTCTTGTGTCTCTTGTTTTCCATAATTGTAAGATGGGGGAAAGAAGAAGAACAAAGCCTTCACAAATTTGACTAATTAGCTAAGTACATTTACAATATGCCCCAAATTACACTTTGTAGTTAAGGACCAGTTTCACTTATTTCCCCCAAGAAAAGCCTGAATGGTCAACATGCTTAGACCATTTCTGAACCAACAGGGAGCAAATGATGTCAGGTCTGGCTGTGGGGGTGTGTATGGACTCTGGGCCATCTCACATTCTGGTATTTGTGTTTCTCCTGAGACCCAGACCCTTTGCTAGCAAAGGCAGGGCCTGGCATTGATGGCCCATCTGGTTCAGAGTTTCCTGTCCTTTCCATCAGCCATTGGTTCTCATGTGTATTCCAGAACAATTCATGGGACCTGGTTGGCTTATGTTTGCAGGGTGGCTTCCAGGACCAGGTTTTTTGAAACGGCTTCCCGGAAAACAGGAAGGTAAGAGATAGATGCTACAGAAGAGAAACCCAATCACTTTGTAATAAATGCATCATGAGTATCCCATTTGCTCTCACTCTTATATTTTCTTTTTTTGTTGGTTTCTCTGCAGCTCTGTTTTTGTCTTTCAGTGTTTGTTGCTTTCTCTCCATCTCTTTCTGTCTCTCACTTATGTCTCTGTCTTTATTTCTTTGTCTTTCTGACACTCTCCATCACTGTGTCTCTGTCATTCTCATTCTTTCTTTCTTTTTATATTTCTCTGACTGTGTCTCTGTTTATGTCTTTGTCTTTCTGTCTCTCTGTGTCACTCTTTCTGTATGTCTCTGTTTTTCTCTCCCTGTGTCTGTCTCTGTATCTGTTGTCTTGTCTGTTTGCATCTCTATTTCTCCATTTCTCTCTCTGCTCCTCTCTCTTCTTTCTCTCTCACAGATACACACACACATACCCAAGTAGTACTACAAAAACTTTACACCAAGGAGGTCTTATTTTTTTGTTAGTTTACTTATATATATCCCATTATATTCGACAAGGACAGATGACAAGGAAATGTAGAATACAACACTCTAACGTAAATAGGCTTAGAGATAGCATGGCTGCCATTTCAAAAATAAACGTTAGACTTAGGCAAAGATTCTCAAACTGGCTGTACGTCTAAATCACCTGGAAAACTTGGAGGGAAAAAACCCCGAAGATTCCTGGCTTCTGCTCTGACCCATTAAAATAGATCTCCAGGAGTAGGGCCTGGGAATCTTGTTTTTTGGTTTTATTTCCTTCCTCCCTCCCTCCCTCCTTCCTTCCCTCCCTTCCGTCCCTCCCTCCTTCCTTTCTTCCTGCTAGTTTATTTTTGAAATTCCTCAAGTGCTAGTACAGACTGCCCAAGGCCTGGCATTTGGAATCCTTTGGACTAGAACACCTAGAGAAATGGTTGCTTAGCCTTCAGGGACTCTCTGTGAGTTTGTTCCATGCTTTTTATGAGACAGCTTGAAATTGTGCTCCTTGACAGGTGACAGGAGTGTAACTCTTCTAGGTGGTCATTTAAAAGCACAGCAGTGGAGCTGGGGTATGTTTGATATCCTGGAGTCAAACCTGTGGGACCTAACTCCCCAGGACATGATTCTGCACAGCAGGTCACCCTGGCTCTGCTTGGCGGTGATCCACAAGGAGCCCTACACTGGGCCAAATATTCCTTAGACAATAATTTATCATTTATTTTACCACAGCAGGTGAAAGTGAGGTCAAGGTCCCAGATTTTTCTTACCGATAGCATGAAGATAAAAGTTTTCACCTAGGAAGTTTCTAAAGTAGGTTTAACCAAATGTCTACCTTGAGAAAGAAGAAAAAAAAAAAAA